TGTAACTATTTTGATAAAATAGAACAAATGTTCTATTTTAAGGACGAAATTCTAGTCCAGATGAAGCCTCATATTATATCCACCTAATTTTCTGTATTTCAATAGGCAAGAAAAAATAGACACAAACACATGCATTTGGGGTTAGTATAAGCGAAAGACATTTTTTGTTTACACTTTTTTATTAATTTATTTTTTACAGTCCAATCCCAGTTCCCCCTCCCTCCTCTCCACCCGCTCCCCCTACTCGCCTCCTCATCCCATCTGCTCCATGAAGAGGGTAAGGACTCCCTTAGGAAGTCTACAAAGTAAAGACATCTTTAAAACAACAGAATTATAGAGGCAAGGAGCGCAATGTCTTTAAATGGCAGCAGATCCCATGTTAGGTTGAAGTTAATGACAATATTTGCTCTATTCATTCAGAAATCCAACAAAATGCAGTATATTCTTATGTCAGTATAGACAACTGTTGTGGTAGAGGACTGAATTCAGTGCTAAATTAGGTATTTAAGCAAGGTGAACTTTTCTAGTTGAACTTATTGGTAAAATGATACAATAGCTTGACAAATAGTTGAACACATTAAATATGGCCTTTTTATAAGACTCTTACCATACATAAAAAAGCCAATGAGATTCTGGATGAATCCCAAAGGTCCTGAATATCTGATGAGCAAGGTAGTTATGAACTCAGCTAACAATGCATGGCATTGTTAAGCATGTGAGTGTCAAAGAAATAAGGACAATTAATCATCATTTCCAAAGCTCATACCCATCAGCATGTTAGTAAATGTTGGCTAAAAGCAAACACAAGCCAGCTAAATAACTGCTGTTATTAATTTCATTATAAAACAATTGTTTATAATTAACTAGCATTCATCAAGTGTCTAGTAACAAAAGATAAAAAATTACCATACTAAATTTTTAATTCTGACAAAAAACAAATTATATTTTTTCTAAAATGTCAAGTCAAAAGTATCTAACATCCAATTCTACAAATGCTTAAATAATACAGGAGGACCTTTCTCCTCCTGAGGATGGGGCAGAAAAAAATAACTAGAGAAACTGAAGAACAAATTCAGACTTGACACAATGAAATTTGGTTTTAAAAGGAAGACATTAGCAAAGGTCTTCCTTGGAGGAGGCTTGATGGTAAATGGAGGTGAAACACAGGCTTCCCTGGCTGGGAAATATCCTCCTTGGGAGCAACTCTGGCAGAGTTATACCTATCAATCATACTTCCTCCTTCTAGAGTGAAATTAAAAATGTCACCACCCAAAATTGTAGATAAAATTTTGCAGCTCACGAAGTCTGAATCAAATCTGGCTGGAATCAACACTTCTGAATAGTTAATAAGAACAGAACCATTTTCAGAATAACTAACTTACACAGTACCCACTCAGTGAGGTGGAATCAACTGTCTTCTTATCTATGGAAATACAAAAGTCTCACCAAGTACATTACAGTACTGGACAACATGTCTAACTGAGCAGGTGGTCACAGTGCAGCTTCCTTCTGCTGAATTTGCTCAAGATCAACATGAGATAGCAAAGAAGCATCTGGCCTGGACAGCCTAATGCTTTAGTTTCTAAGACCCACATCTCCTGAAGAAGTTAAGGTAGCAGGATCAAAATTTCAAGAGTAGCCCAAGTAATTTAGTAACATCCTATCAAGCAAAAACAATGAAAGCCTAAGATTTCAAATTCTAAATTTAATGAGTTAATAGTTCAGTGGCGGAGTGCTTACCTATCATGCCTAAGGGCCTAGCTTCAATTCCCAGTACTGACAATGACAATAAAAATATAGTGCTTTACATGTATGAAAACGATTATTTATACATCCTATAAATTAAAAAATACAATTACCCAAATTTTAAGGATGAAATGTGGAAAATATTAGCTGTATAACTAAAAAAAGGAAAACAAATTCTTATCTGAATAAACAATTGATCCAGATCTCCAAACCAGTATTTAGCCTTAGGAAATTTTGTAAAAATAAAATAATTGGTCCTTGTTTATATTGACTGTTTAAATAACTCTGTTAAGGGAATAAACATCACTTTAGTTTTCATTTCTTTTAAAAAATTTGTCCAAATAATAGCATGATGTATTTGTTTTGCCTTTACAACCTACAATTGTTTAAAATTTAATGTATTAGTGACTTGGTGACTCACAAGGGTAAAAAAGTAATGCCTACCTTATGGATGTAGGTTTGTAGAAATAGGTGGTTGAGAAAGGAAAGGTCATATTCTCTTACATTAATTTAACAAAACCCATCAAGCATCTTTTTCTCTCCTGCCAAGGGTATACTTCTCAAGCATTATTTTTCTTTAAATATCTATTTTTCTGTGTCCCATTCACACCAAAACCATTTGATCTTGAACCTGTATTTTTTCTGATGTCGAAGACAGTCACCAAACCTCTTATTAGAAATTTATTCCAGTTGGTTCAGTTTTCAGTAGGCTTACAGTCAGAATTTTATTTAAATTTAAAGAGAGGTCAGAAAAATAATGCTATTTGAAATTAACCAAGTCCTCTGGATAAAGGACAGTCATCTCCAAGTAGTTTCCATACAGGAGAGGCAGTCTGCACTCTGCTGTCTTTATTTTTCATCATACCATACACATAAACAACAAAAAGTCAGATGAGCAGGATAAATAATCTGCTTTTTAATCATAGTTGATATTTACATAAAGTGAATGGCCTTTCCCAACACTAACCAAGAAAACAGTTTTGGTTATTTGAAATAGAATGTGAACATCAATTAAATTGGATGAAGAGTTCAAGGTTAAAAATAATTGTCCAAGCATGATATGCTAATAATGACTTGCTCTTATGTAGAAATATGTCCTACTTAATCCCAAAATGACACAAGAACCTTGCCTCATTCATTGAATTCTTAAAAGAATCCAATCTTGAAAACAGGGAAAGATTACACTTTAAAATTACAATCTATGAGATTGTAGTTATGGTATCTCAGACCTAAGATGTATATAGCTAGGAGAGACTCAAAATGCATCTTCATTTCAGCTGTTTTCCTGCCAATTATCTTCTAACCATTTTCTTGGTTACTGACTGATTTTCATCAAAAATTCTATCTGAAGGTCCTTCAAAAAAGGTTCTGAAGAACTTCATTATCAGTCATGTAACTCGCTCCATTATGTGCAGGGAATAACCTAGAGACAACAGGTATTCAATTTCCAAATGAACCAGCCGTGGAGCCATAGCATCGCAGACTCTGACTCAGGACTATGCACCTACATCACAAATAACAAGGGCAAGTACCATCCTTTCCAAGTGTTACTAAACCACCAGATCACATTTTTCTCTCCCCAAATCATGGTTTGGAGATCACACCGGTTAGATGGCTACACCAATGAACAGGTCTCCAGTAGTATACCAAAAACAATATACATCCTGAATGTGGCTGCTTAAGTTTAGTGGCTTCTGTTGCTTTTTCTGTCTTACAAGCTCTTTGCTTCTTCTCATACCTCCATGATCCATTCACTCTAAGCCTAGATAATTTTGTTTGTTTTATTTTTATTTTTTCAGATTTGTCTGGTACACAGTTCTTTGGCATGTGAGAATGTAGGAGGGAAGGATTTAATTAACTTAGGGATGTAGATTTCTCATCAGTACCAGAAATCACTAGGACTGAACCTGAAGCCATGGAAAGAATATCTTTGGGCCACTTCATTTTAAAAAGGCATTTTGTATGCATTACAAAAACAAAATACAAAATCCTAAAGTAAATCAGAATAGCAAGACAACAGAAAAAAATAAAAGGTAGTTACTGGATCTTATTGACCATTCTTTTAAAAACATAAAAGTATTCTGACATCCCATGGGATAGTCAACTGTCAAAATAAAGGCATTCCAGAGGAGATATGCTGCAATATGCTATTATGATTAATAGGAGTATAATCTGGGGTACTATGTAACAACAACAAAATGAACTAAGCTGATATACTGTTACTACTTTTTCAAAACGAAAAGGCTGTAATCTGTCCTAGTTACACAGAGGTAGGGGTGACTACTATCTTCACCAAGTATTACAACATAATTCCACCCATATTTATTAAACTTACATTTAAAAGTATACACATGATGAGAATGAACTATCATTTTATACTATATATACATGCATATACATATATATATATATATGTATATATAATCGGAACCCATTGCAACATACTAAAGGTTATCATTTTACAGCTACTCTCTTCAACAGAGGAAAGCTCTTCCACACAGCTTCCCTTGTACTCCTGTTTTAAAAAGACGAACAAACCTTACCGGACACAAATGAGAGAATAAGGAGCAGCGATGAAGTACACCATATGTTTCTGTTGTAGGCTGAATCCAGGTCTTTGTTTCAATATTCCAGCGCCAGCCGGGAAGGAACGCTAAATTAACCACTATTCAAATTTATTCTCTCATTATTGCGGTAAAAGTTATACTTATGATAGGTTCAGCCCAAACCCATCCTATCTTATTATTTGCTTGTTTAATCCAGATTTTTTGCAATCCCAGGAACCTGCAATACATAATCGCCCTGGATAACAGGTCCGAAGCAGAACAATCTGATAAACCAACACAAGCGGCAGGCACTGAAGAGAACAAAGTTGTTTTCCTAGCGAAATAGTTCCGAAGTGATTCTATATCAATGCCATTTTTGCTTTTTTATCAGCTACGCACCTATCTAGACACTGTCCACCTGGTTCTCAATTAACAGGGCTTTCTTCAATCTTGGGATCTCCCAGACCAGTTTTAATGGTGCAACTCAAAACAAAATCACTAACCGCGCCCTTATACATCAGAAGGAATTACCTTTTGCCTTTTTCTCCCAACTATAGTCCAAAATTGCACATCGTTCCCCTGAAAGGGGTTGCAATGCTATCTTAAGCCAACATAACACTCTTTCAGCTCTGCCCTGGCGTTCCTATTGTCAGATGCCGTTCTTCCCCCGGCGGTGTGCTGGCGCCGGCAAGGGGCACCCACGCTTACCTCCCGCACACCTGCACTCCCGGGCTCGGGATGCTGGAGAGGATGCTCGGCGGGCTGTGATCGCTCAGGATCCTGCTCCTGCCTCTCTCCGGGGAAACTACAGAGCAAGCAGAGCCTAGGCTTCTACTGAGACTCAAGCTCCGCCTTCCCCTCCTCTAGTTGGCCGGACCTCGGGCTCCGGCTCCTCCCTCTGCCGTTTGCGCAACCCGAGCTGCAGGCGGCGCGAAGCCTTACTGAAGCAAGTGTCTCGGCTCCTGGTTCTCTGTCCACCCCCCCCTTCCCCCCACCGCACCCACCCACCCTGAGTCCCACATGGCAGTCCCCAGAGGCTTCCTCACAGCCCACCCAGGCACCCAACCCAGCTGCCCGGCCCCTGCCACCTCTGGTCCCCCGCCCCTTTCCTTCCACTCATCTGCGAGCCCCGCCCATCAGTGGGCACGGCGTCTGAGGGCCGGCCTTGCCTTCTGATTGGTGCAGGTGAGAGCCGGCCCCGCCCTTCCTCCGTTTCTGGGCGCTCTCCCTCTCCGTCTCCCTTCCTCCCGTGAAGGCAGGGAACTCTTTTCTTATTCGCTACAAGTGTCCCCACCTATCGCCCTAGGCGTTCTTGCGGGTCCTTCTGGGAAATGTGGTCCTAGGTCTGCAGGAAGTGCTGACGGAACTGGCGGGCGGAACTACGAATCCCCATCGGGCCTTGCGCGACTCCGGCTGGGCAGGATTCCGGACAACGCCTGGTTCCTCTCGGGTCCTTCCGGCGTCGCCGGAGTGAATTGATCCGGGAGTTGAAGAGGGCTCCAAAGGTGGGAAGTGAAGTCCGTGCCTCAGTTGCTGGTAAGGCGAGCTTTCTCGGTTCGGGTCCTCACGGCTCCGCCGGGCAGCGAGCGCGGCTTGGGGTCTGGGGGGCGGGGGGGGGCCGAGGCGGAGACGCTGGGGCTGGGCTCTGGCCGGAGGGCGGACGGGCGGGGAGCGGGGCCCTCTGGGCGTCAGCGAGGTCTCTACGCGAGGTGCGTAAAGCCGGTTTGGAAATGCCGCTTACCCGGCGCGGCCCGGCACCTCCAGGAAGTCCGCTGTGGGTGCGAGCGGAGGGGAAGGGGGAGGGCGGCGCCCCCCCGCCGACAGAGGGGGCGGATGTGCTGGGGTGGGGTCCCCGGCAGGTGAGGCTGGAGCTGTGTAAGGCCTGGAGAGAGCGTGGGAGCCCGGGAGTCGGCTCCCGGAGTGACTGGGGTTATGCCCTTTGAGGAAAGAGGAGAGCCGGTGTTGACAGTTCCGACTCAGTTCCAGTTTCCTGATGTGGCCTCTCTAAGGAGGTAACTCTTAACTAGAAGTGTTTGTCCCTTTTAACTCTCATACGTCAGATGGCTTTACTCCTGAACTGTACTCAAAAGCGCTTTCGCTTTGGGATGCTTCTGAGAAAACTAAAGGAGTAAATGACGTGTCCAAGGTCACACAGATCTTCTGAATCCAGTCCGCTGAAAGTCCAGGTTCTGACCAGAGTTGTCTGCTTAGATAGAAAAGTGGGGAGTTGCTTGGTAGGTGCTCGAAGCGGATAAAAGAAGTTGCAAAGTTGAGTGTGCGTCTCAGAAACGTTTGGGAGGTGAAGAGTTGGTTGCTTGGGGTGGAGTGAAATCCTTCCCAAAGCAATCTTCTTTAACGGTTTGTTAAAAAGGGAAGGGTTGTTTTTTTTTTTTGTTTTTTGTTTTTTTTTTTTTTAGCTTAGATATTTACCCTTTTTCCGAAACATACTAAATGATAACACAACTTCCATGAGCCAAAAAGATAGGTAATATTTAGCAATAAGCTCAGCGTTGCCATTAAGAGAATAGTCCTTTCCTGATTTCTGAAACTAAGATTAAAGTACGGATGAAACTTTGACAAAACTTATTTTACACATTTTAATGTTTTCATTGAGTGATAATTAAATGCAGAATCATGGAGAAGTTATAACATGGTCGTTACCTGAAATGGCTTTTTTTTCTGTCTGAGGTTTTTGGTTCTCATTTTCTTCACTCCATGTGTAAGTAGTAAAAACCAGGACTTGTGCATTTTCTTTTTCTTGGCATCATCTGTGACTTTTAATTCATTCTTAATGTTAAAGAACGGGAAAAAAAAGGATGCCTGTATATTGAGTAAAAAGCAATGCACTTGTTTCAAACAAGTTGACTAATTATAGCTGATAGATATTACTAGATAGGTTGTTGATAGAATTGTACTTTTTTATTGAAGACAAGGTTCCTTTATAAGATTATACTCATAAACATGCATATTTATAGTTAGTAGGCATCATATTATGTAAATTAAAATATTAAATACATATATACTGTAAATAAATACACAATATTTTGAATGTTTTGCTTGCCATGATTAATACTAACAATTTATTTGATTTTTTTAATGCAAAACTTTTCTGGGGTCAGAAGAATCTTTGTTCCTCTATGGTTCAACTTAATATGGACTTGTTTTACTCTGACCTTTAAAATAAATGGAGAGGTATGGTATTATAGAATGAGACAGAAATCAGGAATGTAACACGCTGCATACATATAATACACAATAAGGAAGAAGCAACTAAACAAAAGGAAAATTATGTGGGGTTGATTTTGAAGTAGATTAAAATGGTGCCTTAGTTTGAGTGGGCCATATATAAGTCTAAACTTGTAAAGCAAGGATGCCAATATATTTTCTAGATGACTGTGGACATTTGCTGTTTGTGGGAAAGGTATGAAATGAGTTTTAACATAACTTTGTGGTTCTGGAAAGACTTTCTTTTTTAACTTTTTAAAATTTAAATTAGAAACAATCTTATTTTATATATCAATCCCAGTTCCCTCTCCCTTCCATTCTCCCATGCCCCCCACCGACCCCCATCCCATCCCTTTTCTGCTCCATAGAAAGGGTGAATCCTTCCATGGGGATCATGAAAGTCTGTCACATCATTTTGGGCAGAGCCTAGGCCCTCCCCTGTGTGTCTAGGCTGAGAGAGTATCCCTCTATGGGGAATGGGCTCCCAATGGCCTATTGGGACCTAATGGTCCATTAGGGATAAATGCTGTTCCATTACCAGAGGTCCCATAGACTGCCCAGGCCTCCTAACTATTCAGGGGGACTGGTTCCATTCTATGCTGGTTTCTCAGCTATCAGTCTGGGCTCCATGAGCTCCCCCTTGTTCAGGTTAGCTGTTTCTGTGGGTTTCTCCAGCCTGGTCTTGACCCCTTTGCTCATCCCTCTTCCCTCTCTGCAACTTGGATTCCAGGAATTCGGCTCAGTGTTTAGCTGTGGTGTCTGCTTCTGCTTCCATCAGCTACTGGATGAAGGCTCTATAATGGCATGTAAGGTAGCCATCAATCTCATTATAGGGGTTAGAGCATTTAAGATAGCCTCCTGGAGAGAATTTTTTAATCAAAAGGAAAAAATTAGTTCTTGTCTACTCTAAATGTATCTGTGTCTCTGAGGTCCATTTTACCTGTAGTGTTTGATCACTACAATTGTAGTGCTGAAATGAATGATGTTATTGCTGTATTTAAAATCCTTCAGTCGCTAGCTAGAATTCACAGTGGTTTGTTTTACCTGTAGTGTTCAGCTCTTGGTGCCCACATTTGTTCTCTAAAGTAGCTTTGCATCAACTTTCAGATATTATTCTTCGTAGGCCTTTGGAATTCTTCCTTATATAGTCATCTCTCTCTTAAAGGGTAGTCTATAAGAACAAGAGCGGTGTATTAGTTATCTTTATAGCCTCAGCTGAAGAATAATTGAGTGGCTCCAGAGAGTAGAAAAGGCTTGGGTTGGTTTAATGACTTGCCCAATGTCATACGATCTATAACACATCCAGGTCTTTTGACAATAGGTATTCTGCTCAAAACTGTGATTGTTTTATGTAAGAAAAAGACAGACCATTACAGATGTTTAGATATCATGACCCTCTTACTCTGTTTAATGCCACCAGTTTGTCTTCTATTTCTGTCCCAAATGGCTCCAATCTTATCCTCAACTATTACTTTGCTAATACAAGATACTTTCTGATCTGGGGACCGTTTTACAAATCCGACCTCTCCACCTGTCCTATTTCATCTTCCCTTTCCCAGTGTGGTTGATTCCTGCAAAGCCTGGCTTACTCTGAATCCTCCTTCTGCAAACCAGGATAGGTTGCTGCTCTGTCTTCCCTGTATTCTGAACTCTATTGGCATTGTCACAGTAGGAACTTACTATTTCTATACTGATTTAATATTTGGTCATCTTACTAAAGGTTATCTGGACAAGGGATTCTCATTTGTTAGAACTTAGCCTACCTCTTAGACTATTTAGCAGAGAGTATTCAGTAATTGTATGTTCAAGCATAGTACCTCCAGTATTGTGCTAGGGATAGAAATATACAAATGAATGAAGATACAGGAATTTTCAAATGAATTTAGGAAAAATATAAAGAAGTTAATGCCAGAAGTTTAATGTAAAGTATATAAAAGTACTTTTTCTTGGAGATCTCTCAAGTTTAGGTAAGTAATTTCATTGTGGAAACATAAAGGAGTTGGTTTCTTTTTTTTTTTTAACGGCAAAATTTCTGTGTAGCTCAGCATTTTAGAAAACTTGCCACTGCCTTGTATTTTTAAAACAAGCAAGATTCATTATAACAAAATATAGACATGGAAAAAAACTTTTAATGGACACTATTCTCTCCTTTATCTTTCTTTTCTTTTCTCTTCAAAACAGTTATTTCACTTGCCTAGCTCCCAGGACACCAAAGATAGAAGTAAGTTTACACATTCAACCTAGAATGCAATTAAATTGCTGAAGTCTTAGAAGGACTGGAGCCAAGATTTGAGGCTAGACCTGTTTCTGTGCTTCCTAGGTTTTGTTTGGTTTTGGTTATAACCAGGATTTAATACAAGCTTCTTGAGAAAAGATGTTTTTGGGAAACCAACTTTCTAATTTCAGAGGAACTTATATTTTACCCTCCTTAAAAGTTATAGTTGAGGGGTTTAAGATAATATATTACTAGCTTTGAATATGACACAAGACTAAAGGTGTTTTTAAAATTTTACAAACGAAATTTTAAGGATATAGTAGGCTAGATTTTTGTCTGGAAAACAAATTGTATAATTTTTCATATTACCACACTATTGCAATAAAGTACATTCAACAGCTCTGAATTACTTAGCCTTTTATTCATTCACATTTACCAAAAGAGTAGTATCAAAAGTGGCTGCCTTAAATTTTGATAATGTACTAAGGTTTATTACTG